CCCAATATTTACATTAGTTGTGAAATGGCAAAAATACTTGTGTCTAACTGATGCACCAAGAACAGGCGGGCTGGCTGAGGCTGAGAAGATGCTCCCTGACGCCCAGAGATTACACACCTGAGCACGCGCACACACACACCTACACACCTACACACCTGTTTCCCAAATATTCTCCCTTTTCTTTCTCTTTGTATTTGTTCCCACTCTCCCTCCCTCCCTGGGTAATGTCAGACTGAGCTCCTGTAAGGAGGAGATAAAGCCCCCCGGCAGGGCAGGACCACAGCTGTCGCCTTCTGACTTCCTGGACAAGCTCATGGGGAGAACGTCAGGATATGATGCCCGCATCAGACCCAACTTCAAAGGTAAAGTATATGTCAAGTCAGACGATCACAGTAGCCCTCAAGAAAATCCAGTAGAAAGCACAAACACTAGAAAACAAAACAAGACCAGTGGATATGTGCTGTATGTTAGAAACTGTGGTATGATTTCAGTTGGGCTTTAAAAACGAGATGATTCTCTGGCATGTTTGTGTCATAAATATTGCTTTTTTTCAATGATTTCCAGGCGGATTTATGTACATTTATGCGAGATGGAAATCAGCAATAATGATATCCTCTGAATGTGTGTGTAATATTGGATCTATAATTATCTGCATCACATCTGTGTGTTTAGATTTGACTGAGTTATGACTCCAAGTATGATTTTTGACGCAAATTGCAACAGTCGGGTGCCAAGGGCTTTAAAGTACCTTAATTGCCTCCATGAGCTGTGTGTCACAGCTGCTGCTGCTGCACCAAATGCTGACCATGTTGATAAGCATGCAAAATCAATGAGCCAAAGTACAACAACTAATTTCCTGTTGTTTGTAGAACACTGGCAGACACCTGTCCCCTTCACCTCAAGCAATATTTTATCCCCTCACAGTCGAGAAATCTCTGGGTTTCGGAAACAAAAGCATTCTGGTTATAAGATCATGGTTTTGGTTAAATGTTAAAAGCAATAAAAAGTCAGCATTTATTTTTTCAATATTAAACCAAATGCACAATCTTTCCTAACCATAACCAAGTCCTTTAAGTGCCTACACATAACCATAAAAAACATTAGCCATACTGTAGTTGCTAATAATCAGTTATATTGCAAGAGCTGCTTCCAAGATAGTGTAGAGAAAACAAATTAAAAAAAAGCTTCCTCGTTATGTTGATAAATATTTAATTTAGGTGATGTTTCTCCTTAAATTTTGGTATGTACACATAGAAGCATATAAACATGATGTCAACATAATTTCAAAAAGGTTTCACGCTAATGACCCCAAAATGTGGGCAGACACCCCTCTATTGCGTTCTTTGCTTTTAACAATGCCAACATTTCCCTAGATTCCCCAGAAGTTTTTTTTTTCTTCTTCTTTAAGTTTGTTTTAGTAAATGAGATTTTGTTGGCTGTAATTTCACTTGAAGTGACAGACAGCAGGCTCTTCAACAGCCGAAGTGGTGCTCGCATGACTTCCGTTGAAGCAACATTTTCAATCACAGTTACTGCACGAGGATAAAAACTAATAAAGAAACTGCTGTAAAACCTAAAAAGCCATAGGATTTATATAATATAATATTAGGTATTGTTTTATGTGAACAGCAGTGTGATATCACAAATCTCATTTGATGGGAAAGATGTGTTAATCCTGTTTTTCTTCCCTCAGGCCCACCTGTGAATGTCACCTGTAATATTTTCATCAACAGCTTTGGGTCCATCACAGAAACCACAATGGTAAGTAGACCTTAGAGATATAAAAAAGTTTTAAATATGTTACAGAGGCAAATGTTTTTACATTATAACAACATTATGTGTAAAAATCTGAATGTAGTTTATTTGTTTCTAGACATGATTATGGAGCATGATCTACTTGTATCCCTACACAGAAATCGTGAAACACTCCATCCTCTTTCTTTCCTACCAACTTCTTTGCTAATCCACTCAGTGCTGAAGCTATTCCCTCATTTCTGGGTTTCCTGGAGCATAACAGTGCAACCTTCAGACACCAGTGGGTCACTGAAGTGCTGATAATGAACTGTCCACTCTGCAATTAAAATGAAAAATTGAGAAAGTGAATGAAAACGGGTATGAGAGAGAGGACGAGGGGTTCAGGGAGAAATGTCTGTCCTCAAGTCCGCATTTACAGTGTTATAGCTGCTGGGTCAGCACAATATAGCAGTTGAGTGTTTAAGGGTGTCTGAGGGAGGGCCAGAGGGTCAGACCTCCAGTCAGGTCAGCCCAGAACGACAACACTAATGATGTCATTGTATGCACCGGTGAAGCATGTTTTTTATTCTGATGAATGAAGTGAAAAGCAAGAATCTACAATGCCGAAAGATGGATTCTGAATTAATTGCGCAGATTAGAATTCTAATTTAATTACTCATGTATGCTGGCTGCAGGCAGGAGTGGATGTGTTCAGTACTTGGCCTGGCTTGCATTGCCAACCCTCTACTCACCAGCAGCAAATGGCTGCAATGGTTGAACAAACATTACACCATCTTATTCAATCAGTTACTTTGGTAAAATCTGATGAATATGTTGAAGCGAGGGGTGTTTCAACAAGAGTGATGCCTTATTAACCTCAACCACTAAGGTTATACAGAGATGCATCAGCCATAAAAACTCTCATCATTATGATTTGGAGATCTGTGAACATTATTTTTATATACAGAAACATTTGTCAAGTACTTCACTTATTGTCTAAGAAAATGTAATTTTACAAATCAGGAATTTTTTGGTTTCAAATCCTCCGAGACCAATTTTTCATTATGAACACTGAATCATACATCATGATGCTGCACATGCAATGATATAATTCACAAGTATTATGTACATGTACATGTATTATAGATGTAGAAAGAAAGGGGAGGTTTCATAATAGTTATATTTGTCATAGAGTACAACAGCTTTGATCAGCTTAAATTCATGATCAGTGCACTCCAATAGTGACCAGTAATAGAACATTCCCATGAAATCAGTACTGGAGAATGATCCAAGCTCTATCTATACTATAACATTCACTGGTGATACATTTTCCATTAACTAGCCTGAGTTCTTCCACAGGACTACAGGCTCAATGTATTTCTACGGCAAAAATGGAATGACCCTCGCCTGGCGTACAGCGAATACCCAGATGACTCCCTTGATCTGGATCCATCCATGCTGGACTCTATCTGGAAACCTGATTTATTCTTTGCAAACGAGAAAGGAGCCAATTTCCACGAGGTCACCACCGATAACAAGCTGCTACGGATCTTCCAAGATGGTAGCGTTCTGTACAGCATCAGGTAACAAAAAAATAATACTCCCAAAACTCAAAGATTGGAGCCATTGGGTACCAATATGGCCAGTTGGAGAATGATAGCAGGGGCTTAATCAAGATGTAGCTGCAGTATGATGTGTACAATTCTCTCCATAATAAATAACAAATACAAAATAAAGTGAAGAAAATTAGTGAAACTTGGTCTGGTTCAATGAAGCAGATGGCAAACAAATCCCAACAATAACTAAACTTCAGTGGACTGCAAGTCTCCAACATACTGAATGGATGCAGGCGTGGAAAAAATGCAAATGTAAAGTGCCAAGTTTGTGAATTTAAAGTCTGTTTATTTCATGACACTTTACACTGGATGGGAAATTTGCAGATAGATTATTAAACCATAACATAGGAGGAGACAACACCTTTTTAGTGCGTGCTTGCATGTCACAAGTTTCCATTTTACTGATTGATTGTGGAAATGTAAATAAATCAACTTGTGAAGGCACAACTGCAGTTGAGTAAGTAAATTTCAGGGATGAAAGTAAGAGGAACACACTTTGTTTTGGTTCCAAACTGGTAATTTTGCCTATGAAAATTAAATAGGATTTTATTATTTGTCTGTTTGCTTTACTAAAAATGGCGACAGCTTTTGGAAGAGGGAGAGACATATGTGGTACTCAGAGTATTGCAAATACAGATAATCACCACCTTATTCCATTGATTTGCTGTGTCCTCTAGATTTACTAACTATGTTTTGTAATTATGGCTCTAAATACATGACACAATTTAGGCAATGTTCGGAGAGTCGATCACTTGAGTATTTGTAATTTGTTCTTCGGCTGGTGAAAAAGATATTGTGTCATCATAACACAGTAGCAAATGGGTGCCTGTGTGTATACTGCTGGCGGCTCTTGTCTCGCCTCTGGGCGATGTATTACAGCAGGTAATTACACAGCTTTCCTCCAGACAGACTCCCAAATAACTCTTTCTCTCTCTTCTTTGAGGATTCTTGAAGGCTTAATGCATCAACACCACAACAAATAAAAGTAGGGATGCCTACACCAATTAGTTTGCCATTAATGTGGTGCGACAAGTAATCAAATGGCAATGTAACTCAATATGTTTTCCAATCTGTTTTTTTTTAAAGGAAAACCTGCTTAGTTTTTTCATTTGTCCAATTTTATTGTATAATCCTCCTGTTTCATAATTTGCTAATTAAAGCAGCTTCTCACTGATCTATTTCACTGCTCTTTTAATCAGTTAAATCATTTCTCCTTGTGTTTGGTGTCTTTTCCTTGAACCCTTTTGTGCTTTTTGACATCCCTTATTGCTCCTCTTCTCTTTCCCAATCTGTTTTTCTATCTCAGGCTGACTCTTACCCTGTCCTGCCCTATGGACTTGAAGAATTTCCCAATGGACATTCAGACCTGTACCATGCAGCTTGAAAGCTGTGAGTCTTCTTCTTGTCTTCCTCTTCCTTTTATCTCACTTTCCTCTTTTTATTCCCCCTCTTTCTGATTTCCTACCTTATGCCTGGCTTGTAAAGTGTCTAACCTTGCTATATTCCAAGAGATAGGAATTGTATCTGAATTATACATTTGTCTCATTATTGGGATTATATTCCATCAATGTGGAAAATGGATCCTTATCTTCTGTAATTGCATCTTGTGTGTTGGTGGTTATTTGCGCACTTGCTAAACTTTTCCCCCGAACAGCAATTATCCAATCAAAGGTGGTGTAGTAAGAGAGTTACTGTACTGAAAAAAAAACTACAAGTGAAAAATTGTATGGATTAAACAGTGTGTCCGTCTGCTCCGACGAAAGCTGCAAACATTAGTATGTAGGGCTAACAAGCTTACTACCTACAGTAAACCCTTGACATGACTTCCAATGCCACAGCCATTATTGTGTCTGATTACAAGCTACAATAAAGAAACCTACATCCACGACAATAACATACTGCCATAACACTTTTGACCATCAGACAATGGGTTTTAACTTTTCTTGATGTTACGTATATGGAGCTGTCGACAGCCCGTATAAATGGGGCCAAAGAGGCGAATGTTAATATGTGGCTCACTACGGCTGATGCATTGAAGGGCTCACTCTGATCCTTGTGGTCCATTGTGTACCTGATCTACTTTACCTGGCAACTTGAATCACTCAATAGGTCTATATTAACTGTTCCACAAGCTCCTTATTTTTTTATTTTTTTATTTTATTTTTTTCCTCTTTTTGTTATTGCTGTTTGTTTGAGCCACCGTGTCTCATTTTATTTTATTATAATACTTTAATTCTGTGTGTGTGGTGTGTGTGGGGGGGGGTGGTGGATGTTAACAGATATGTTCCGTGGCTGTACATCATTGTTTGTTTTGTTTTTTAATGAAAATAAAATAAAAATTTGAAAAAGAACATACTGCCCTACTAGAAGCCAGTCATGGATGCTACAAGATCAGAGTTTAACCTAACATTAACAGCTTTTGCCAAACACTTTGGTTAGTCCTCATTCTAAAAATGTTTTTCTCATGTGACGTTAAAGTATTAAAAACTGAATTATTACTGATTTACATAGTTCTTGTTTTAAAATGAGTTGTGTATAAAAGAAAGTGCAAGAAATGTACAAAATGCATTTGAAACCTTTTAAAAATGTTCGTACATTGATAAAACGAAGAATAATATTCTCGCCTTTCAGTCTTGCTTCGCCTTTAGCAGAGGCCTATCTGTCCTCATGAAACCAATTTCCAGGATATAAATAATAAAACTTTAATTTTCTGTCCCTTTTATTATATGTGACCCACCCCTTGTGCCTAGAGGTGACCTAATTTCCTGTCAAAGGGACAAAAGAATTTAAGTCTAGCAAGAGGGAGGGAACAGAAGGAGCACTTGTACCATAAAGTCTCTGCACGTTTTCAGAAACATTTCTCACAAATAAATAAGTGAAGCTAAATGCTGGTATCTCTACCTGCACCCTAATCTCATTCAATAAGACCAAATGTATTGATTTGTATAGAACTAGTTACTCCCTCTTTCTACAGGAGGCAGCATGATATATTTCTGCAAATTAATACAGGGACAAACCGATCCAATACATTTAGTATGTCAGCCAGCATGAAAACAAAAATATAAAAGACATTTCCCCCTTTAGGTGTGTAAGGGAGGATAATGTGCGCTTAAAGCAGCAGTGTGTCTGTGTGTTTGTGTTTGGGGAAGTGTATCACAACACACTCCCATTAGAGGAGATGTAATCATTTCTGATTAAAGGCCTGGTGAGGATACTTGGCCTTGTGTTGACAAGTGCTAGTACAACACCCAAGGGTGTGATCACCTTGGCTACAGCTCGATTTTAAGTGTACATCAGCGGACATCATAGGTTTTACTGCTACTGCTGGAGCCGTGGAAACACCGTCTGCTCAACATGAGAAAGCGAGAGAGAAGCGGGCGATAAAAGAAAGAGAAGAGTTATCTTTGGGGTTTGAGAGAGCCAAGGCCAATCTTCTTTCCTGGCCTTTCATGCCACAGGCTTATAAAGATATATAAATAGAAGCAACCATAAGATTCTGCCTTATTCTGACACATCAAAGTCCTATATATGCAGCTTATACCACTTCGCTTTGCCATGAGCCATTAGTGTCCAGTAACCTCAAATCTACTTTAACTTGAACTGCAAGTGCAAAGCAAGACTAAGACAGCAAATCTAAAGCATAACTGTAGCTGCATTAAGATAATGGCTTTCATTAGGTGCACCGCTTTTAACATGAAAAAGAAGACATGTAACAGTCATTACTCTGCCTTACGAATTTAATTTATTTTATTGCACCTTGAAAACTGTCAGTGATGGTTTGACTCTTTGCTGTAGCTGACAGAAGAATATTTCATTATCTTAAGAAAGCATTGGTATTCCCCTTGCTTGTTAGAGCGGGATGTGTGAATCACAGTGTATTTCCCTCATGAAGAAGATACGTGTTTTGGTGGTGTTATTTTTCAGGCATGTGGTACGGAGATAGGTAATAACATCTTGAATAATTGATGTCTTTGTAACTCAGACCCTAAAGGGTCCCAGTAGACACCAGTGTTTTTCAGATGTGAAAGGAATCCTGTGTTGTTGTATGTGTCATGCATTTTTAATACATCTATGATCGCACAGCTGGGTGAAGGAGTGCAACTGTCAAAAAGGAGAAGGCAAATCAACTGTGTGTGGACGCTAAATAATTATTAACTGCTGTGAGTGTGCTTTACTAAACTGTATATTCACTTGCAAATCAGTATATATTCCATTATGATACAGTTTGTATATCACTACTGGTGCGCATGGATGGTAGTGTGAATTGGAAAGATTACATATACTAATCAGCTCAGTCTGTGTTAGCACAGTATCTCCCACTGTCATAGGCAGATATGCTCCTCATGTCCCACCCTTATTCTGTAACCTTCAAGCAACCACAACAACATGAATGTAGCTGTGGTGGGTGACCTTTACTGTGACAAACATGATGGCAGAGGGTAGCTGGTAGCTGGACAGATGGGCAAAAGCGACATTACATCACCACAATTGTCCAAGTTTTTCTCTCTCTCTCTCTCTCTCTCTCTCTCTCTCTGTCTCTCATTAGCCAAGGTTTCTTGTGTTTCTCATGCACAGATATTATACCATGGTAACAAGATCCCAGTTAGAGTTGGGGTGTTGGAAAGAAATTAGGTTAAGAATGAGGAAGGGAGTGATTATCACAACAATAGTGATAAGAAAATAATATTTAACAGCTTATGCAGAGATGCACTTGTTCTTCTACAGTGTTTTTAAAATACACAGTAAACTGCATTGCCTTTGTACTACTTATAGCATGGTATGGTAATGTTTTTTCCTCATCATCATCAAATACATTGGTGATAAGCTAATATTACACAGTTATGAGGATTTGACATGTCTGTGATATTGTACATTAGAGACTGTCTAGGCAGAAATGATGAGTAAGATATCCTCCTCTTTATCAAATTAATGTAATTCAGAAAATGTAAACTAGTAAAATGCGTGCCATGATGAAATAACGAGAAGAATAATATCTTGCCAAAGTTTGCCAGAATTAGTCTGAAACGATGTGACAGCTGTATGGAAGGAATAGTGTTCATGGTTGATTCTGTTCAGCATAATCAGAGCTAAAGTGACACATTTCTTACCATTTCTCCCTTATTTAAATATCATCTCTCTCCCCTCTTTTCTCTTTTCACAGTTGGTTACACCATGAACGATTTGATCTTTGAGTGGCTGTCTGACAACCCCGTTCAGGTGGCTGACGATCTCACCCTCCCCCAGTTTGTGCTAAAAGAGGAGAAGGATTTGGGCTACTGCACTAAGCATTACAACACGGGTACATAATGAATTCCATTTAAGGTGTAGAGAAACCAGGAACCCTCACTTTGGAAATCTAAATTGTAATTGACTGGTTCAGCTGATTTCTTCTCCAGAGGAATGTAAAATGAGTTAGTTATACGATAGAGATTCAACAACTACAACACTGAATCCTGTTGGTTCTTGATTTAATATACATATGACTTGCTGGAAGGTTAAAAGAAGAGTTGTTTTCACCAAAATGTAATTTGAATACACCTTTATTTTACTTTTTACCATACATCTACAGTTTTTATTCATTATCCCCACAGTGTAATTAAAAATAATTGTTTATTACTCAACAATTAAAAAATGTTTTAGAGCAAGACAATTGAATGTACCTTTAATGTGTTTGCAGGTAAATTCACATGCATTGAGGTGAAGTTCCACCTGGAACGTCAGATGGGCTACTACTTGATCCAGATGTACATCCCTTCCCTTCTCATCGTCATCCTTTCATGGGTGTCTTTCTGGATTAACATGGACGCTGCACCAGCCAGAGTGGGTCTGGGCATCACTACTGTACTGACGATGACCACACAGAGTTCTGGTTCAAGAGCCTCACTGCCCAAGGTAGGTCTGAAGACTAAAGACCAAAATGTATGATGTTTGTATGCAGGGGAAGGTGGATTCTGTTGTAGGTGGACTATTTAGTATACTATACTATTTAGTATACTATTCTAAAGGTCAAGTTTGTAACAGTTAGGACGATCTATTGTAATATAATACTAATAATAGGTATGTTTACATTGTTACAGATAATAAGAATCATTGTGTTTTTGTTACCTTATGATGAGTTGGTTTTATCTACAGAGGGAGCAGGTCCTCTTCTATGGATGCCGCCATGTTGAACCACCATATATTTCTACAGTAGCCCAGAACAGACAAACCAAACACTTGCTCTAGATAGGGGAGGGAGAAGTGAGGGAGTTGACATATCCTGCTTGCTGTATGTCTGAAAATCAAATAATATATATAATATAATAATGAAATATTGGTCACAGAAACCAATATATTTTGTAACTGTAATCATACTGTATGCTTTTCTCCCTTCAATAAACAATGTGTATGAGAGGAAATAGCGTTACTTATTGTTATCAGCTCCAAAAGAAAGGTCAGGGGAAAAAAATAAATAAACAGATGGCCAGAGTCTGAAACTTGTAGACTATTCTGACATTTTTCTCTGACATATCCCCAAAAAAGTGATACATGATTTAGAAATACCATTGCCTTTCATACCTGATATTTCCAGACAAGCTGACAAACCCAACCAAAATCCTGTATGAAAAAAGTGGCAGGCGCACAATGAAGTTTTGGACTGCAAAGTGTGTACTTTTACTAAAGTTGGGTAATAGAGGCATTTGGAGGGGGTTTTGGAATGGGACGACCTACTATAGCGTACTTAGTCATGAAATGCTGACTTTGCACAAGGCAGGTCCTGATTTAGAGACTCACTAGGGAGCAGACAAACAAGGGCCAGGTCGGGTGAGGACACTTGCATGTGAAAGACATGCAGGGCAGGGCACACCATACCTGGGAAGAAAGTGAGGGAGCAGGGGAGAGACATATTGCATTATACCATCATGACAGTAGATACTTTTTTCCTGATTAGTTGGCAGGTGTCCATTAAAAATGTGTTTTAAAATACCATGACGATAGTTCCAGCCAACAGTTTAACAGACGTTCTAAATCAGTGCACAAGGTATATTAAAATTACTGGTAACCATAGCAACAGGATTTCAGCCAGTGGTAACGCTCACTGGTGGTAGTAGAGACTACATTTTGACCCTGAGGAAGAGTTTTTTTTATTTATTTTTTTTAAACTTCATTTAACTTGGGAATAATCACTGAGAGCCAGACTCTCTTATTCAGGAACGCCCGGCTCACATTCACACAGCTGAACACATTCTACACACAATCTGCCCACTGCAACCAGTCTTATCTACTACTGAGCAGCTCCACTGGAGAAGTTGGGGGTTAAGTGCCTTGCTCTAGGACAACTAAGTGGTGGTAATGAGGGGGGGGCTGTTCGTTTCCTCGTTTTCCATGGTTCCTGAATTTTTTGGCTTGAGAACCCGTAACATTAAGAAATGTCTACTCGAGAGCCATGGTCACAGTTTTTGCCTTAATGTGGGTGTGAGTCATACCCCTTTTTGCCCGAAGAGGCATAGATATCAACTTGCTTTCAAAATTGGAGTGCCTAAATATTTTGGAATATTGGAAGCAAATAGATTTATTTATTTATTTAGATTTACTTTTCTTGGGGACCCATTGGGGTTCCACTTTGTTGAGTCACCACTGGCAAGATGCAGTCAATACGCATTGGTTTTATGCTTAATCATGTAGCCATGATAACGTAAAACTAACAAAACCAACAAAAGGTCCAGTGTGTAAGATTTAGGAGAACATACCGTCAGAAAAAGGAATACACGTAATATTCATACATAGGCATGTTTTTGTTACTGTATAATCACCTGAAACTGAGACAATGCAACTTAATCGCAAGATGCTAAAACAAAAATCCTACACACTGGTCCTTTAAGGCTTCAATAGTGCTTGTTAACCATGGCTTGTTTAACCATGGCTTGAACTTGGCCTGTCCTGCTGCAGTGTATATAAATACTACTAATGTACTTCACGTAAGGTTGTATATGAAATTCACCTCTGTGTTTGAACATTAGTGATTGCCAAGTAATTGCCTGAAATATGAAAAATAAAAAAAGGATAACCATCAAGGAAATGGGTATTAGATTTGATATTTTCATTTAATTTAAATACTTTTATTAAGCTTATTAGAAAACTTAGTCAGTAGGTGTTAAATTGCATGTTAAGACAGTGAAAACTGACTACGATGTGTTACAGCTGGAGCATGAGACTGTAATGAAGTGTTGATTAAAAGATGGCTTCCAGTGTTCACAAGAGGTACGAGTTTGTACCCTACTGATGTGTCATTTCCTGTTTTTTTCCCCCGCAGTTTGCCGACTGTTATAGATACAGCGGTAACAGTCAGCAAACTGCTGCTCAATTGAGTACAGTTTCCACACAATGCTTGCTCAGTGGGCGTTGTTGATTTGCTGTGACATATCCTCTCTCATGAACGACCCGGCCAGGGCTCTCCCCAAGTCTTAGCCGTGACCTGTCTCATGGCTATGTGTCAACTGCCCACATCCCACTGACTCATTATAAATCTTGGCCATCCCAAAGATGTGTGTCATTATGTGCCAGAGGAAGCTGAGGGATGTGTAGTTTGTGAGCAACCCACGGATTAACCATTAGCTTCATTGATTGGCCATTGATGACTCTGTGACCTTGTCTGTTCCCAGGTGTCCTATGTGAAGGCCATTGATATTTGGATGGCGGTATGTCTCCTGTTTGTGTTTGCTGCCCTGCTGGAATACGCAGCAGTTAACTTTGTCTCAAGGCAACACAAGGAGTTCATCAGGCTGAGGAAAAAGCAGCGGCAGCAAAGGATAGTAAGTGTAAATCACACACGAGCTAAAGCATGGTTATATACATATATGCACTTAAACATACACACACTGACACACTGTGCCACACATTGTAGCAGATTCTAAAAAAAGTAAGCACAGGGAGCGCACACACTCCACTTCAGTCCTTGTCAGCTTCTATAACATTGACTTACGCCTCTTGTTATTGTGGGATGCTGTATATTTAGGAACTGACAACATCAACACGCTACAGCTGGCTGTCATATTACATGAGGAAGATCTGCTCATTTCAGTTCAGCTCGTTTCCATGCTGTGCACTGACCTGTGAAGAGCCTTTCTGATCCTTTCCCTCTGTCACTACATTTGACACAGAGCAAAAGCCTGTGGGAGTGGGAGACCTAACCCTGCATTCAGACTGCAACACTGATACATTTCTGTATTCTGACCTGTTGTGGGCAGCGTGAGACACTTGGACTGAACTGGTCACTGCTGTTGTATAACATAACTTTTTTAACCATTTTGATTAGTAAATATGGGGATATCTTTAAAGTGTACCAAATTCTAATAAGATACGCATTAATGCCCTTACAAAAACTTGATTTAGAATCTGGCTTTCATGGGGAGCCCATATTTCTACATGTAAGTATGCCGCTTTCTTTTTTTTAAGTGATTTAGCTCACCTTCATGCATGAATCATACGTCAATAAAAGCCTAATTTTACGCATGATCCATGAATATAGAGAAAAATAGAATGCATGGCAAAAATAGTATATTTTCAATATTTTAGAGATCCCCAAAAATTTCCCAAATCACATTTTAAGGGGAGCTCATGCTCATTAAGAGGAATCAAGCTCCCGCTGGCTCCCCTGTAGTCTGCACCCTGATTCCTACATTGCAAAAGCTGGATTGGTGCATATGACTGTATGACATTGAGTTTATTTTTTCCCAACAGAGCCTTGTCCACTTTAAGAGAAGAGCAAAGACAAAAACAGAACAGAAAGAAAATTGATATAAAATAACCAATACTGTTCCACTTTGGGCAGAGTGATGCAGCATGTACAAAAACAGAGAGCACTCTTCTGCCCTTATATCCTAACATTTTCAACTCTACCGTCTCTCCCCCCTTAACCCTCTGCTTCCCACTCCCTCTTGTGCACCAGGTGGCAGATATCACGTTGGCATGCAGCTCTTTCTGTAAATCTGCTGTCATGTCTGAATGAAGCTGTGAGAAACATGAATGTAAAAGTCATGCTGTCATGTCTGAAAGACAAAAAGTCATCACTTTAACAGATAGATGAAGCTAATAATGCTACATATTCCACGTCTGGAAAGGGAAAGATTTTTCACAACCTGTCAACCCAAAAGTGTTTCATATTAATGTCTTATTACGGATATATAAAGCATTAACATTATTTCACCCTGACTTTTAGGAACATTAGAGGAGGTTGTGTATTTCAGGTTCTATCCATTTGGTGGCCCCTGGAATTTCTTGACATGTACCCAGATCCAGATTTTTCATATACGTTTACAACCTACCTATAATTATTTCCATTCCTGCTCCGGAGGATTCTTCCATTTTCTTTCCCCATTTTTGCGAGTTTTTGCCTTATCTGAATCAAGGGTTTTGTTGTTTTTTATCTTGGCATTATTTGTCTTCCAAACAAATATCCCCTAATTTGGATCCATATCTTGAGCGACAATTATCAAGGAAACACACTTGTAAGTTGAAAAAGTGTTTACAGAAAGGTGTGAGACCTTTTGTAACACTGAGAGGTTTGTCTCAAGAGAAACAGACGGCACATCTTGAAAATCCCATTAAACAGCTCACAGGCTGGGCAGCCTCCCAGACTCATGGCAAAGTTCCCTGAAAAGGCAGAATAGTCCAGGAGATTTACTGGGCAGTCTGCCCTCCTGCATCAATACAAGACAGAGAAAATGATGGTCTGTAGAGGAAAGGTCTTTCCCTGTCCACATCAGTTGCAAAATTGGGGAGTTTGAGGTTGTAAACTATCCATTTGAGAGTTATCGATGCATGAACTGATGTGTTGTACTAGAGAGGTTTGCAATCTGATGGAGTGTACAAATCCCAGACTGAGCAGCTTTAATCATTGCACTTTGTGTTAGCCAAACAGCTATATACATGTATATCCAGACAGCCTAAAAAACACAAAAATAAAAATAGAGCTTCCATTTATAGTCTTTACAGAAATAACTTGAACAGGCTCCTTGAGGATCCTTCATTCGTCTTCAAAGCCAGTTCCCTAAACTTACCGCCGCAGAAAATGTCCTGTATTATCACACTCACAGTTCCTCTTTAATTAAAAGCTGAGAACGTCTGCCTGAGTTTGTTGTTCAAATATGAAGTTTGCATCTTTTATCACTTTATTTTTGGCACAGCACAGGTAGATTTTTCATGTAAATTAAACACAGGGAATTCTTGTTCCCAGCTAAATGTGAAGGCCCATGTCCAAAACTAATTATGAATTCAACACTAAGGAATTTATCTTACAAAAGACAACCAATATCTTGTTCTACAACAGAAGATAAAATAAGGAGCAATAATGCTTTTTTCAATTTGTCTACCTTCCTTTCCACTGGAGGTGTTTGCCAGTCAGCCTGGGAGTGTTGAGTCGTTGCGGAAAGTGAATGACATCCCTGGTAACATCTCAACCTACAGGAATCTGAATCAGCACTGCAGCGCCTGTGCCAGGGTAAAAACTGAACCCTATGTCAACCCTGACCTTCAAACACAGTTTTTGTCCAGGCCCCTCCCCCCACCCGTCCTTCAAACCTGAATACATCCTGGCATCTCTCCCACAACGCAACCCGCTTTGTGCTGATCTTGCTCCATCACTAAAGCCCTCTCTTTCTGCCCTTCTGCCCCTTTATACCTAACTTGGAATTCTTGCTCTTTGTCCTTTCCCAATGTGTTTTTAAAGGCTAATTTAAATTCAACATACATTTCCCCCTTGTTCTCTCCTCGTCATCCAACTTTTAAGTTCCTTTTTTTTTCCCAGGACACTCCAAGACTCTTGGAATTTACTAAAGGAAGAGAAATAGTTTTGTTTTTAATTTTCATCATCTAGCTACCTAGCTTCATCAATCGTCTAATAGACCTTTTTCACAGCAGCCATTTTGACAGGAAAGCTATACGTCACATTTTCACGTTAAAATGTCTATAAACACTAGTATAGTATACTAAATAAACACTAGACTTATGTTATCTGTATTTTATTTAGTGTTGTACTTACTTTATACCAAATGTTTCCAACAATGTTCAAACCCAAAGAAATCTTTATTCAGGTTTTACCAGTTGCCTGTCGATGGCTTTGAGCATGCATCAGCGTTGTGGTTGTTTGCCAAAAGCTGTCATAAGTTGACTTATCTAGTTTTAAGCCCCATTTTATGTAAGCCAACATGCACAAAAGCAGCACCATGACTCTGTCTGACACGAATGGAACAGAACCTTAAGTAGTATCATCAGTAACATCTGTGTTTACCCTACTATTCTATTTCAAAATAGCTGCTGTGAAAACGTCTAATAAAGAGAACTAGTTCAATAGTTTTGGAAATAGGCCTATTTGCTTTCTTGACAGGATATAGATTGATATCTTTCTCATGTCTGTGCATGAATATGGAGCTACAGACCACAGTTGGTAGCCAGTTAGCTTAGCTTAGCTAAGCATTAAGACTGAAAACAGGGGGGAAACTGCTAGCCTGGCTCAACTAAATCTGCCTACCAGCACCTCTAATGTTCACAAATTAACAGGTTTGATCTTGGTTGTTTAGTCAAGTTTTTTACCTTTGGACAGAGCCAGGCTAGCTGTTCCCCCTCATTTACAGTCTTTATGCTAAGCTAAGCTAAGCTAAACGGATGCTGGTAATAGCCTCATATTTTCCAAACATAAAATGTGGCATCAATCTGATGCAACTCTCAGCAAGAAGTAGAATATGCACATTTTCCAAAATGTCAAACTATTACTTCTAGTTTTTACAGTTGTTTTAGTTTAGCCTTAGCCATTAATATGAAAACCCTTTGACTGTCACTGATCACTCCCTGAAAACAGCCACCTCCACAGTAACTTATTCTCCACAGTGATAATCAGAGCAGACTCAACTGATCTTATTCCAACAAATCACAGTATGTAGGTGCTGCTGGCAGCACAGAGCACAAACGATGAACACCTATTATCTTTAGAGAAACGCACCATTAGACTTTAGCACATGATGTACTGTATCGTTTAGGAAGGAGTAGGAGGGATAATTAAGCTGTGCTAGAAGAGCTACAACTCCCTGTGTCCCTGTTGTATGGTGCGATTTGTCATTGGGAACACATACTGTATTAACCATGAAGTTACTCACAAACAGTCAGTGGCTTAGTCTTTAGCTAACGGTGAAGGTGCAAACAAAGGGCAATTGGCAGAGATCAGAGGTAGGGGAAGTTTAAATGAATATACTTTGCAAGAGAAATTTAACAGTAAGAGACAGGTGGCGACAGGTGTGAAATACATTAGTAGCTTTGAACCTTTGACAGGAGCTGGTGAGGTCTCACAGCCAAGTCTGTCCAGCACAGAGATGTGAAGTTCGGCAGAGTACCAGAGAGCTGCCAGGGTCAGTGAGAGAGAAACAGAGAGAAGGGGGGACACAAGGATCAGAGCTTTCAGGGCACTTCACACTGACTACTAATCATCCAATTTAGATCCCACGTCTTCACTTTCCCCTGCTAAAGTGAATCTCTCAAAGTGTCAGAGGGCTGTCAGAGTTAAGCTGTGTGTCTATTAATATTCTCTTCAGAGGGCGGGAACAGTGTCTCATTCACTGTAAAAAAGAAAAAAAAAAAAAAAGTCCACACCATTCATCAAAGCATAATGCCAAGTGCAAGCTTTTTTTGGTGGGGTTGAGATCATGACTTTTTATTAATAGGCATTTTGAAAGGTCTATCATTCTGCAACTTTGAAAAGAGCTGGAAAGGAGAGATGGAGGTTAATTTTTTGATTAACTTTAAGAATTATAATTTCCTTTCTGCCTTGTAATGATGATGCCCTCCGATTCCCCTCTTTGTGTCACTTTCAAAAAGCTTGATTGATTAAAGAAACTTTATCTGAGGCTAGTGCCCGTTTTAGCCCCAGTTTGTGACTATCATGTGTTACTATTACAATCACAGAGGTAAGCAGCCGGTTCTCTTAAAAATAAAAACACAGCGATGTTTGAAGGTTGCTTAACAATGCTTATGGTTATGATTACTAAAATCTTCAGCTGCACGACAAAAAAATATTTTTAACCCAAGCTGCTACTGTATTTCCTAATCCAAAGATGGTAAGCATTTAATGCTGCTTAAAGGTTTCATATGTAATATTATGAAGCTTTTTTTAATTTATTAAATCAAATGAGTGAACAGGTTGTAATGCAACTTGAAAAATGTGATCTTCCCCAAACTTTTTTGGTTGCCTTTGGATAGATATTAGTTTCTGTGTAGGGATACCGACCGTATTTTCTGCAAAGATCCAAAGGAACATGAAGTTTATGGACGTTCTCGTGTAGCTTCTCTCTCAGCTTCACTACATTGTCAACAGTGTGCAACAGCTTAAGTTATCTTATAAATGGAGTCCGCTAACGTCTACAAACAAGTCCAACACAAAGTCCAAAGTCAAAGCTAACTAAGTGAGCTAATTACTGCAAAGCTTGTGAAATATATTCTCAGCTAGCTTGATCAAGACTCCCATTGCTGATCTGGTTAGCTTGCAATTTGTAGGCTACTTTATCATCTGGCATTGCGGTGCAGCAGGTTCCATATATGTTTCATAAGTTGTTTTGTAAAAAGCAAGGACATATTTCCAGCTATCTGGATTAGAAAATATTAAGAAACAGGTCAAAAATCTTTTTTGTTGTGCAGTGGAAATGTTTGGAAATACCTTTAGAACAGTGCCAAGTGTTGTTAAAACACCATCTGGGCCTTTCAAAGATTGCCAGGTATTTATTTTTCAGAGAAACAAATGCTTACCTCTGTGACTTTAATGCACTCTAATGACAACACAAGAGGCACAAAATGGGGCTAGTGCTCGTTTTAACACACAATCACAGACAAATCTACTGTATTTAATAGGCTTCATCCCTAAATTCAATGCATTTCTTCTGTGGATGTTCTCAATATGTTGCACTCTGTGGCCCTTTTGTGCTGCTACAGTCCAAAATGCATTCAGGAATCCACCACTAAAGGAAATGGAGATGTAAAAAGCTGTAAGCCAATTCTTGTTGACAGCAAGAGGCCAATCTGTTTCCCCTATGCTTGACTCCACAGGAGGAGGAACTGGTGAGGGAGAGTCGTGGTTTTTACTTCCGGGGTTACGGACTGGGTCACTGCCTGCAGACCAAAGATGGAAATGCTGTGGAAGCAGCCACTGTGTTCGCCCCCCCACCGCCTCCTCCAGTTTCCTTGTACGACGGAGAGGTACTTCATAAGCGTTTTGTGGACCGGGCCAAACGCATTGACACCATATCCAGAGCAGTCTTTCCCTTGAGCTTCCTCATATTCAACATCTTCTACTGGATCACCTATAAAGTGCTGCGACACGAGGACATTCATGCAAATTTGTAAAAACGCTCTCTGCAAACCCTAGTTACTACATTTTAGGTTTTTGTTTCTCAGAACCAAAACTGCCTGTCAGATCTACATTACAATGAAGAAATGTTGTCAAGAGGCATATCAGCTTCTTAAAACCATTGCTAAAAACTTTGTGCTCAGGTGCGTCTTCAGGATCTCAGACGAAGAATGATTAAGCAGAAAGACAAGGTTAAGCTGCATGGATTGAGGCTGGTGTTGTTAGTGATTGCCCTCTAGTTTCTGTCTTGGTTTGATTCATCTGGATTACAACAGAGACAAAACACTGCTGGTTCTTGTGGGTTTATGACCTTTGTTTGAGTTGATGAGAGTTCAGAGAAGTCGATGTTGATCCTGGCTGGATGAGACATACTGACTTGAATTTACTACGCATCTTTGAATGAATGTTTTTGAAAATTCAAAAGATAATGGGTTGTTTTTGTACACCTTTAGATTATCAGATAGGTACCTATGGGTGCAGGGGGGAGGAATGGGTCTTTGATATTTATTAATATTCAATAGGTGGTGATAATTCAATTTAGAATATATATATATATACATACATGTGTATAAAGTGTATATAAACAAGCTGTTCATTAAACTGCACAAAGCACAAATATGTATTTCCTTTTGTCTAAATTTAAATAAATTGTTATTCTGCCAGGAAACCAGAAATGATTTGTTCCTCTTTAAGCTGAAGATTCAGTTTATTACTTTGAAAACGGATGCAGGGGTCGTGCAAAGGAATGCTTTTTAAGTGTTTAAGAAATTCATTCAGAATAACTGCATTAAACACAATTACTTTTCTATATCAGTCATTTAATAGACGACATCAGGTCCAAATCCCAAGGGGGACAGTCAAAACCTTAAACCGAAGGTGGAATTAATCAAATTCTTCAATAAAGCAAATTGTAAAAGCTGCAGATGCAAAATAAGTAATCTGTTCATATCAGTGTTTCTTCTTTCTTCTTTTCTTCGATCATGACTATAATTGTCTGCTGTAAAACCATACTTGCATCATTAAACTGGGAGCAATCTGGACAAACTTCTTGAGAAAATTACATAAGAGCTGCCATTTCTTTCCCAGTCTCAAGAGTGGCTTTGAAGGTGTGGAAATGCAGGGCTGTGGTGGAGGGGGGGCATCGCCAGCGAGGGAGGACAAATGGGTTTTTTTAAATGGGAAATCAGAGGGTTGTTTTATCAACTAATGAGTTTGAAAAGGGCTTGGTGTTCCACTGCTAATGACAATGAATTCAAAGAGGCAGCTGGAGCCTACTGTCCTTTTGTCGGCAATCCTAATCAACCCCTCTGTATTGTATGGTTCCCCAGGTAATGAAAAAGAGTGTGTGTGTGTGTGTGTGTGTGTGTGTGCACGCGCACGAGTATGTGTGTTTTCTCAAACATGCCTTTGTTTCCATTTTATCCTCTCTCAGTTATATTGATATAGATTTTTAAAATGTATCCAGTGTTCCATATTATCTTTTTCAATCACAGCCTATTGCACTTGAGTAAAAGCTAAAATAAGGGGGCTCTGTTGCAGAAAGGGTTGGTGGTATATCTTTGGAGCATAAATAAAGACATAATAATAATAATAATAATAATAATAATAAAGACAAGACAAGCCCACTTATTGTCACAGATAACGAAGGAGTAGCTTGATATATTCACTGAAATCCCTCACACTGACAGCTTATGTAGATTTATAAAACAGAATGTGAGGGCATGCAAATGTCAAACATTGGTTGTTGCTAGTCACTGCTTTCCCAGTCCCTACTGTAAAAAATAACAGCTCCAAACCTTGGATTGGAGACATTTCTTGTCATAGAGAACACACTAAAAACCATACATGACATCTGTATGCAAATGTAAAAAAACAATACCAATACTTGTTGACTTAAGTTATAACTAATGACTTAAGCAATTGTTAATAAACCATTTTTTAAGGTTTTATAGATCAGTTATAACCCATTAACACCAGCAACATTTGGGTCGCTAGGTTCTGAAAAATCCCTCCAGCATGACACTTTCTTTACCTTACTATCTCTTTAGTGCATCATGAAGACACTTCCAATGGATCTTTTGACCACTTATCTTCTGGAAAAGAGCATTATTAATGACTTATTGACATGTATAGCAGTTAACCAGATTGCTTATTAAATTACCAAAAATTATGATTTCATTATTACCAAAAAAGAAACCAAATTGCTTGTAAAGCATTTGAAATTACATTTGATTTGTTTGAACAGTGCTATTTAAATAAAGTTTGATTGATTAATTGATACATCTATAAAATCGGTAAATTGTGAAAAATGTTAAAGCTAAAATGTCTTAGAGCTCTATCTTCAGATCTTCAGGTGTTTTGTTTGTGCAACCAACAATTTAAAACTTAAGATTTTCATGTTTTCTTTAGAAGAATGTGTCAAGTGTTGCTTTTTTTAAAATTCTATTTAGAGTTTTCCATTTTTCAACTTAAAACACTAAATTATACTATGATAGATAAATGTCCTAGGCCGAAACAAAAACAGTAGTATCATTAGTTGTAACATCACCTTAGCAACTACTTTCCTTTGACTGTAACTCAGTGATGAGATTGTTTCAGTCATGACGACAAAAAACAGCACGTTTGTGGCAATATAAGAAGCTTTTCTAAATCCACAAACCCTGACTGACACACACGCAAAATAGGCCCACAATTTCTGGCACATTACGCTTCATCGGCACTTCCAGAAAATATGCCCCCTCAGAATGCATATTATTTCAAGCACACTGGAAGACTGATGGATTCCAATAACGTAGGATCTTCACTCGGCCGACCGGATTCACGCACAAAATCCCAAAAATGTGATGACACTCCCCCGCTATGCTCAGCCTGTCTCCTGTCACAAAGCACCAAAAAAAAATAACCACTGCTATCAAACTGTCTTATCTCTAAAGCAATCCTCCAACAGAAGGATGGACCCAAATGAGAATATTAAATCCGCATTGTCCCACAAGCTTTCAACGCCTCTGACGTTGTGCTGTGTGTAGCTGCTTAATTGAAGACCTACTCTAAGGAACGCTTTGCTGATGAATGACACACACATAAATCATCAGATATAAATGAACATACAATGAGCAGGAGAGCACATTTGATGTAGCTCCTGGTCATCATGTCCAAGGCATGCCCTTGCTGTCTCCCTCGGGGGTAATCAACATGCTTTCCCCCCTCCTCATTTCAGCTGAATGTCAATGGTGCCAGAGCTAAAACTGATGTGTGAGCTTTGAGAAAGCAGCTCGAGATCTGCAATCAATACTGCTGTCCCTTAGAGCACCAGCTTCTTACCCTTTTACACACATACACAAAAACATTACTCATATGTGTAAGATTTTCACACTTAATGAAAACAGCAATCAGTGCTACATTGTCCAGTTTCAATGGTTGGCTTTTCTCCTTCGTTGCTTGGTTGATTTTTTCTGATCCGTTTATAGTGAAAACCATTTCTTATGTCTATCATGGAAATTGTAGTTCTTTAGCATCTTAGCAACTGTAATGTGAACACAATTTTTTTTGTTGAACTATCATTTAACAACAGATTAACATTCATGGCATTTACAAAACTACCCAGAAGCATTAACAACAGGTACAACTATAAAAATATTAGAATTGCAGAATAAAATCTGTAGTACCAAACATTAGAAATGTCCCTGCATCGAATCTGTGTAGCCTGGTACAAGTGCTGGATGAAGAAATAGCAGCCAAGGGGAAAATATTGGTTTCTTTTGACAGTGATGTATTAATGAGACGACGTTACACATGTCACCTTTAAATATATGAGTGTAAACAGTGGAAACTGCTTGCTCCACACAGCATTATGGATGCAAACCTTGTGAATGTCACCCAGCATGTGAAAACTGATATCTTTGCACTCTAAATACACATTTTTCTACCACATGGGTGGCGTAAAGGTTTAATGCAAATTTCCATAACTTAATAAATAACTTGTCTTATTAGAGTTTATGTATATATTTTTAAATCTTTATGGCATTGTCTGTAAACATTTTAAGAATTAAGATTACTGTTTGGATGATCATTTATATTGGTCCCATGTTTGGTCCCTTAGCTATTTTTCAAATGGCAGCACCAACATTTCAATATACGGATGCAGCTTAATGTACACATAAGCCTAACGTTCAATGAAATTGCTCCACACTCAGCCCCAAAAAAGATGTAATGTCACAGTTCTGATGTGGGCTGTAAATACTGAACAGCATGATGACAAATTGTAAACAATGCAATGCTGGAGTTTGTAGTCTTGTACCTTGTCTCAAACAAGGTGGTGGCACATTGCTGGAATGTGATTTCTCCATTTCTAAACACAGTGCATCATAATTTCTGATTGGTCAACAGCAAATATGCAGGAAAAAGTTTGACAAAAACAAACTCTGTTCCACGAGTGCACCAGAGTCAGCGAGGAGATCCTTCCAAAACAGAAAACACATGCTAGAATTTGCTAGGTCATACAGGGAAAGAGCATAGACAGAAATATAATGCGATACCATAAGACACAGTACCTTTACAAACTGGATAACACAGTACTTTGCCATTAAACTGACAAAGCAAGCCCTGTATAGGATATATACAGCAAAAGCTTACTTAAACTAAAACTAGATCCAAATTATTGATAGTTACAGGATGTTTTATGTTTTTTTTTTGTTTTTTTTTTTAAATGAAGAACAGCCATTTCTCATGTCCTTGGACTGGGTCCTTGGCCTCATATGTTTGAGCCACATTGGGATTGGGATTGACGGCTTAAAGATAATAGATGAACCCTAACCCATGAGGTAATGAAGAATCAATGTTTGTAGCCACATTTCTGAAGCCGACTGCAGTGTGTTGGGAATGGGGGAGACCGGATGTGGTGGCGATGAGAAATGCAAAAGACAAAGCCATCAACGAACAATGCTGCTTTTCCCCTTATGTCTACGGCAGTGGTTGAAAATATAACACCAGATTTATTCTCTGAATTTGAGCATCGTGTTTACCCACATACAACACACTTCTAACTGACAACCTTTTAACATCCACCAGATAGCTAATGTAAGGACCAATGTAAGGAAACATGATGCTGAGAAGAGTTGACAATTCACTCATTGTCTGCCGTCTTTGCATGAGTCAAGAAGGTTGATGCACCATGGATCATTCCTTCAGAAAAGGTCACATAGGCACCCAGGCTGTTCAATGTATAACCTTTTTTCTGATGTGAATCATATCTAGAAGTCATAATACCTTCATGTTTTTTTTTTCCTTCTTGTCTCATCTGAATAATGAAACCAGAAGAAAGAAGAATGTAGCTTCAAATAACATGCTTTCAAAAACACAGCAAGAAAAACCTATATTTCAAGCAGCACTGGAAAAAACGTCCTTGTGTATACTTATACAGAAAATCCTATGTGGATTCATTTCGACTAATCCCTTGCTGCGCTTCTACATTTCTGTAATTCCAACATCTGAGAAGAGACCTACAACTGGGAAGACT